AAATCTCCGGATTTATTAGAATCCAAACGCTAATTTAAAGTGGTAAACTGTATTTTCAACATTTTTTTTTCGCATCTTGAAAACGTTGGAACATGGAAGAAATATCTCTGCTAACTGTAAAATTACTTTTAAAAATTACAAGGTTTGAAAGTGCTGCATTCAAAAGCTGTAAAAATGTTTCTTCTTGTGGCGATCTTTCAATACTTGCTAATCCTAAAATAAATTTTTTGTTAATATATAAGCATCAAACCATCTATCAAAAAACTCTATATTTACCTTCAAAATCAAGTGCTACATAAAGAATTTCGTCGATTTTAACTGTTTTATAAATAAACAATATCAGTCTAGTCATGCTAAATTATCATTTAATACAAAAATCAATCATGCATAAAAACTTTCCTAATGACATCCATACACCTTCCGTGCAACGCTAAAATAGTTAATAAAAATATTAGTATATAACAACTAAATTCTATACACAAACTTCAATAAGAAAATTAACCATAGCGGATCCATCGAAAGTTGAACCAAGACAATGATTTAGTAGATAACTTTTGCCTAGATTTGGAAAGATATTAGAATTATATAAGTTTGATAATTCTGTAATTGTGTACTAAATAATTAATATTTTATAAAATTATGAATTTTGGTCAGTGGCCTAACTTTAATCTATTCACTGATATCAGATATTGATATTAAAACCACTTTTTTTTCTTTCAAAACGAATAACTTACCACTAGATTGCTCTCCCATAGATGAAATTACTTTTACTTCTAAATCAGCATAATATTCAAATATAGACTCATACCATCCAAATGAAATGGCTTTCGATATATTTCCAATTAATCCAAACCCATCATCAAACACATTTTGTTCAGCTTTTTCTAAGAATCCGTCTCGAATTGGAATAAATTCATTGTCGTGCGCAACAGCAATTTGGATAGGAATAAGACAGAAAAAATCAATAATCCAGCTAAAATTAGGTATGGGCAAAGAAATTTATAATGTTAATACATTAAATAATTTTTGTATTATTTTATAGAACATATAAACTACTTACTCTCCAAATTTATGTTCTGTAAATTCACTTACGAGGTTGTCAAAGCTTTCAAAAATAATACAATTTACACCAAATTTTTCAAGATGGCCCATAGGTTTTTTTGTTTCTTTCTTGTATTTTTTAAATAATTTACGAAAATATGTTTGAAACTTGGTCTTATAATTGTCTATATTTAATTTACTGCTTAATTCTAAGACTATTGTTAATTTTAATAGTTCATCTTTTTTACTAAATGGGTTTGTGATTGCATATTTTGTAAAAACCATAGAATATACATCAAGTAACCCATTTACTTTTGTTCTTGGTTCAATATTAAATTGTTGCCATTCTTCAAAATTAAGTTTCTGTTGATTGATTATCTTCAATTCACAATCGTTAACAATTTTCATAATTTGAAATTTTTCATTACCAATGACTAAAAGATCACCCACATGAAAATCAATGGTGAACTTTGTGTTTTGGCCAAGGACTGTAAATGGATCGTTACGTTCTATCTTTACTTTACCCAAAGATTTTTTTACTGTCTTTCTTTCAAACCGATATTTAGCCTTCATTTGTGTAACTTTAACCATCAAAGATTGAAAATTATTATTATGTAAGTCAATTGTTATTAGATGAGTTTGTTTATTTGCAAGCGAACAAAATTGAAAAAACTCTATGGTTGAGGAATCAAATGGAACTTCGATCACTTTGTTTGCATTTTTACTAAACTTTTCCAAAAAAAATACGTATCCATGAACAATGTCTATATTTAAAACTTGAGAGTTATTTATTTTAGATTGAACCATAGTATTCTGCTGTAATTTAGATTCTGTTAAATTATCTACACTTTCTTGAGAAATAGTCGCAAGTTCCTTATTATTTTTAGTTGTATTATCGATACTTGATGATTTAGCTTCATTAGCTTCATCATTAATATCAAAACTATTTTCTGCCTGCATTTTCGTGTACATATTCTCAGAGATAGTCTCATTTTCTTTATATATGCTTTTAAACTTTTGTATTCCAGGCTCTGTTGAACTATCTAAATTTTTTTGAGAAATAAATGCAGTTTCTTCATTATTTTTAGTTTCAATGTCGATATTTGATAATTCGATTGTATCATTGGTACTTAATAATTTAGGTTTAATATCATAAGAATTTTCAACTTGCATTTTTGTGCACATATCCTTAGATTTCATCTCTATTAATTTATCATCGACTTCAGATGTTTTAACAAAGGATTTTTCTTTTACAAATGCAACAAAGCAAGCTCCATCTGGTGTGCATAATACCCGGGTACAATTTCCTGGAAGTTGTGCGGTTCCCGGCCGAAAATTAAGATTTATCAAACTATAGATTCGAGCTGATCCATTTTTTTCCACAAAACAAACATCTTCAGTACTTTTTATGAAAAACATATGAGCTATTTGTGGAATATTTAAATTGTACCATTGACTAATTTGGATGTTTCGGTATTGCAAATGAATATTATTTTGTTCATCATCTAATCTATATGTATTAAGCTTTTAATGTAGCATATCAAAATAAGTGATCGGTAAGAAAATTTTTAACATAAATTATAATTAATACACACCAATCCTTTATCGTTATCATAAATTGCAATCATGTGTTTTGGTTCATTGATTGCAACCATAAAATTTCTTCCAATTGATAGTTTCTTTTGTGTAGTTTGTGAATCTAAGTTACTTTGTAGACGATTAATGCTATTAATGCTATTAATGCCAGCAAGATATATCTCTAGCCTGTTATTTATTATGTTCCAGAGAAACAGTAGATATTTTTTGCCTAATTGCGAAATTGTTCTATAAATTTTACAAAAATAATGAGTTATTATGATTAAAACCATTGTATCAATAAATACTACAATTATTACTTGAACTCGTAAATCTCTGGATCAATATTAAAAGAGACGTTATTATTGGATATTATTGGTTTTGGGATAAAAAATTCATTCTTATCCATCTCTTCAATATCAGACTGGTTAAGATTAACATTATAAATACTAAAACATAGTTTTTCAGAAATTTCACAGTCTAGGTAATATTTTTTCTTATACTCGTCTAATATATAAAAATTTTAAATTATAAAATTATTGATTTAGTTAGTTCTCATAACATTTATAATTGCGTAAAATTATACCTATTTCTAGATTTAAAATAGTTAAACGGTCTTCCGTTAGATCATTTGTTGGATATTTTGCCTCAATTTTTTTACAGATTGATTGAAAAAAATACTCTTCAATTTCTTTTAATTTTCCCTTAAAATAAATTTCATCACTTTTTACTTCCAAATTTTTTTCAACTTTTTCTCTGATATCTTGAACAATTCGATTTACTTTTTGAACAAAATTCAGTTCTTTCCATTCTAGGTATGCATTTAAAAACTTTTTTGTAACAGCTTCGTCATTTATGTCAGAAATTTGTTTTACAAATTCATTATCGGGAATTTTTTCAGCCTTATCATAAATTTTTTTAGCCTTATCATTTATTTTATCGACTGTTTTACCTGGTAAAATACTAAATAAATTGCAATTGTTTTTATACTTATTGATCAATTTAGAAAAATCTTGCTCTTCATCATTAAACACCGTTGATGCTTTTATGAAGCCACAATGTTTTGCAAAAATAAGTCGAGTTTTGAGGCATTTCCAACTATTAGTAGAAATATTGAATATTTCATTTTTAAGAATTTGAATTATACCAGGATATATTTCATCAATGCTAATAGATTCTAAATCAAAGAATCTTTTTTAATATCTTTAATGTCTGTCCAGAATATAATAATTTAAATACTCACTATCTTCTCCTAGATGTATTTTATAATTTAATTTATGATCACTTATTAAACTCTTACTTTCTTCTATTTGTATCTCATCATTTTCATGGCCACTTATTAAAAGTTCAAAATGACTAAAATTATCAAAATTACGAAATAGTAAATATCTTAATAATTATTTATAATCCACATCAGGGCCATGTAAAAATTCAAATTTTTACTGGCCCTGATACAGTCAGGAGTGCATCTATTTCAGTATTTGCGCGTAATGTTCATTGATGATCTAAACATTTTGATTGACTGTATATGTAAACACACATACGGTATTTTTTTTTTACATAGTACAGCCAATCAAAATGCTTAGATTATCTGCGCACCAACACTCCATAAGCTTCAGACCAAATACATTTTCAACCTCCATAAATGCAATTTTTCTTATTATTCTCTAATTGTTGCATTTAGGGTCTGACTGTATGTATTATTAAAATTTGTACATACTTATATGACTGCTTCAATATCTGATATGCCATTTGTTTAATACGATCCAGAGTACTTTCTAAAACTTTACTGACTATTTCAACCTTACGATCTTCATGTTCTTTTAACTCTGCATTATAATTCAAAAATAGATCAGGAACTTTTATGCCACCTTCAGGAACATTTGTGCCATCTTCAGGAACATTTATGCCATCTTCAACAAGTATTTGCAGTTTTTGTATTGTCATTTTATTACGATCAATTAAAAGAGCACATTTTTGAATTTTAAGCTTTTTGAAATGTTCTTGAAAACTGATCAAAGAGTCAAACGACCTTTTGCTATATTTATCAGCAGTTGTTTTACCATATTTCATTTTTCGAGTAAGTAATATCTGGTTTGATGCAGATTCAACAATTAATGGATGCAAAGGTGGGCCATCAAAATATTTAGGAGTATAAGAGCTTTGTATATTTGACATTGGTAGAGGTAGCTTGTATTTTTGAAAACGATTATTAATTTAATTGTTAATAATGAGAGAATTTTACCTGTAACTTACATTAAATCCTTTAAAGAGCTCAAAGTCTTCCTTTTTTTCTTGGCTTTTTCTGACTTCATACTTATGAATAAATGCTCTATTTTCTTTATTTTCTCCATCTTCGTCATCAAAATTTTTTTTCAACAAACTCCAATCAAAATTTTCTACATCACTATCTGTTACCAAAAATAATAGTTAACCAATAAAATAGCAACATTATACATAATACTAAAATAAGGACGTTATTGACCAACTTAGTTCCACGTATAATTATATGGTACATCGTCAAACAAAAACGAGTTCATAGTGATACTAAAAAATTGTTAATAAATACCTAATTATAACATGAAGTATCTATGTTAATGTCCACATTATTTATTATACTAAGCTGTTATAAATAACATTTTATAATTAATTATACATATACATGTGTGCCTAAATTGCTCAACTTAATAAAAAAGTAATTACGGCATTTAGGCAGCCGAAAATAGTCTTATATAGTGCCGAAATTAATTTTCATATATGCCGAAATTATTGCCGAAATTTTTTGAACTCTTTTCATCAAAATACATCATATAGTATAGTTATTTCTGAGGGTTTCATATAAAAAATTTAGTAATGCCGAAATGTTTGCCGAAAATACTTTTTTTCAAAAATAATTTAGGCACACATCTATAATTATACATAGCAATTTTTTTAATCTCACTATGACACGTTTTGATTGACGACATCCATATAGGCAAGTCAAATTGAACCAAAAACATCCCTATTTAAAAAAAGGATTACAAATGTACCATCCATAAGGCATAGTTGATGTGTTGTAATTTTTGTAAGATATCTGTAAATGTTAAAATTAATAAATTATTGCTTGATTTCAATCAATCGTCAGATAATTGTCCTCCCTGAATAAATCTGAAAATTTTGACACTTTTTATAATAAAATGTGTAAACATGTCTAGTTATAAGTTCATAAGATTTCTCATCGTATTTCGGTTCTTCATCAGTATTATCTCTAGTAGTACATTATATCTGGTAGTTAGTTCAGTAAAATGATGTCAAAGTTTCCAGTTTTATTAACGGGAATTTTGATAATTTGACAACCAACTACCAGTTCTAATGTATTACTAGAGGCAATGCTCAGAATCGAATCTTGATAATTTTTATTTTTAGGCAAGTTAATTAAATTTATCCATAAAGCCAAAATTTTCAGACTTCTTCGTGGTGGACAATTATCAGATTATTACAGTAATTTGAAAAACACTAATCTGAACAAAAAGATAAAATTACCTATGTAAATTAGTCATATTCTTTTTTCGATAATAAGATGCAGAATCTTCATAGCAACCAATTTCACTCCAGTGTATGACCAAAAATTTGTTCGGGTTCGAATTAATGTCTTCAGTGACAGAAGGCAGTCTCTGAAGATAAATGCCAGGCCTTAAAGTTGGCAAAGATTGTATTGTATTTATTTCATAAGGTATCAAAAGTTGTTCATAACTATATTTAAATAAAATAAGGTGAATTATAATTTATAAAGATCATAATATAATGCATATTTAAGTATTTATTGGTTGAAATACGTACATAACTTGATCGATAACATTTTTATTCAATAATAGTTTTGCAATAAGGTCATTTCTACCATAACATCCGATAAGATGAACATGACAGGAATTCAATTGTTCAAATTGAATTTTCGAAATCGATTTAAAGCTGTTTGGTACCATTTCATTACAAAGTTTTTTCAAATCTTGTTGTGAAATTAATATCTTGTCAACTATCAAAATACATATATAATTCGATACTAATAATTAGTAATAAAGAATATTTGTGTATACAATTGTATAAAATCAATCTTTTATATGTACCAAGACCATTTGACCCTTTGTCTTTGCATAAGTCTAATAAACGATAAAGGCCTGGAATAGATTCACATAAGTCATAACGTGAACTTTCTTCTTCTGGGTCTATTTCTGCGCCAACTTCAGAAGATTTGTCTGCAAAAATCATTTAGCGAGAAAGAAAACGTATAAGAAATAATGTAATAACCTTATAGAATGTGTTTAAATCTTTTAATATTTTCATATCTTCACTTTTCTGCATGACCATTACTTTTTGAAGATTCCTTGTCGGCTCTTTCATAATTTTCTACATTATCACTAAGGTTATTCGATTTCGAATTGAGATCTCCGATTTCTAATGAAAAAATGACCAATGTAATAGAGTTTAAATGTATAAATTAATAACAATAAAAAATATTTTATTTCTTACCTGAATCCTTGTTTTGTCCTTGATTATCCATGATAATAAGCATTCACAGATGCGAAAAAAAAATGTTGAAAATACAGTTTACCACTTTAAATTAGCGTTTGGATTCTAATAAATCCGGAGATTT